GAGAAGTGTGTCAATGAGAGTATCTTTAAATATGTAAAAACAACTGATTATGCCTCAAAAGTTTATAGAACAACATACCCCCACAGTTGGTTACTTCTTGGAAAGAACATCCAAATGTCCAATAAAATGCATCAAAAAGTGAAAAACTAGAATAGAGAGGATTCTCTGCATTTTATAGAGACATTTGCTCCCTCCTATGTGCCTACTGTCCTGCATACATTAGAACCAGTTCTGATCAGTCTTTATCATTCCTGTCTGTCCTGCCTGGCTCCTGTCCTTGAGCTTCTTCCATCACACTAGACAGAACAGTGTGATCGCAATCCATCTGTCCCCTGGAATGAACTGTAGCACTCAGAGACCTCTTTAGCCTACTCTAGGAAAATCCTAAATAAGAGTGAAAACCTACCGCTCCTAACACTGGAAGAAACAACCACTTGACATTTTGACTCCATGGTTGAGATCTGTTGGAAATTCTGAAAGTTGGGGAAAAGTCTTGTCCAGGCTTCATCCCACTGGAGCCCAGAATTCCCCCAAACATTACCCATCCCCACACCTATGACTCCAGTCCTTCATTTGTACTCCAAGCCTACATTTGTCTACATATCCCAACCGTGAAACTGTCTTACCTTGGGCCTGCTGGAGCTGTGTCGTCTTCTGGCTCTTCCACAACAGCTAGCTCTGGGGGAAGGAAAGCATCTTTGTTGACATTATTCACCCAGCTTTCTTTTGCCCTCATTGCTGTGTCCTTACTCTGCTCAGCTGAAACAGGAAATGATAGACAGAAAGGTTATCTCTCACTTCTACAATCTATAGCCTTCTCATTGGCTCCTATTAGTGAGGGCTCAGATCAGAACCTTGGGCCTTTTAAGTACCAAGATGACCACTGTGTCTGAGGACCAAAATTATAGCTGTTAGAGAAGCCAGTAGATTTGCATGATTCAGGTCCCTGTCTCCCAAACAGGCTCCTGAAAGGATAGGTGTGCCTTTAAAGATATAGGTAACCCTGGAGACCACTGAAGCAAGGTTCTAACTGCCTCTAGGTTAACAGAACCTGAGTTGGAGTCAGGATTGGATATACTTAGGCAAGAGATTCTCAGAGTGGTAGTAATCACTGAGCTCCTTACTAGGAATTTACTAAATGCCTACAATAGGCCAAACAAAATGTTCGACTCTGGGGTGCAAAGGAAAAGGAATGATCCTAACTGAGGATATCCCTCTCCAGTGCCTCTCCTATCCCATGGGTCTCCCCACAAATCCAAATTCTAAATTCACAACAACACACTGCTCTTGTGCCCCCATAAAATCTCTGTGCTGTGTCTTCAGGAGTCTCTCTTGCCTCTCAATACTCAGCATTCTCCTTACCTAAATCTTTGAAACGATTAGCATCAACTGAGTGGTGACTAATGAGCAAGAATTATGCTGAGTTCTTTGTGGACATTATCCTATGTGGTGAGGTATTTTCTAAATTCATAAACTTGGAAATTAAAAACCAAAAAGTTCAAGAAAATTGCCTAAGGTCACATTATAAGGGTCAAGAATAATTTCATCAGTGTTAAGATGAGGCAATGTTGGGGCTTCCAATTTCTAAATATATTCCAAGGTGGAATCTATCCCCTACTGCTCTTGGCACACATCAGTATAGCATCTTCGATTGCAAATGGAGTCCACTATTACCACCAGTACCACCCAAGATTTCTTAAGGCCTGGGTAAGCTTGAAAACCAAGAGAGCTTCAAGCAATGCATTGTACATGCTTAGAATTCCATCTTTATCTGCAATAAGTGTGATACAGTCAAAAGACTTGAAATCCCACATGTGCCATTTAGCAATATTGGGCAAGTTAACCTAAGTTGCCCAATAAAGTTTATAGGCAAAGTATACTTACCTTACAAAATTGCTGTTACAGTTAAAAAAAAATAGATAATTAACATTTACTGTATCTTAAATGCTTTAAAAATAGTATTTTTCTTTGTCCACAAGCTGTAGCGGGTAGCTGTTCCAGCTTTGACCTTGAAGTGCTGCCCCTAGTGAGGCAGCAGGTAACTGCTACACCTGCCTATGACCTGCCCCTGGGGCATGGCCTTTTGGGGCCCTTAAGACCTGGGATGCATACATGCTGGCCTCTCTTGGCTCCTCATGATCCTGGATGCTGGATTGCAGACCAAGTCAGAGTTCTCCAGAGAACCATGTTGGACTGTACCTCACCTCTCCCAGATCCTATAACCAAACCCCTTTACTGGTTGGAAGTCACCCCAAATTAAACCTCTTTTAACTATGAGATAAACTATGTGGAATTGCCTCATTAATTGCTACTTTAACAAGCTAGACCTAGAGGTTTACAATGACTAATCTTGAGTTAAATAGAAATGAGTTAGATAGAAATTTGTAAGCATGCAGGCAAAAATGAAGTAGTGAAATAAAAAGAATTCTAGGGGCTGGAGAGATTGCTCGGTGGTTAAGAAAGAGCACAGGCTACTCTTCTAGGGGACCAGGGTTCAATTCCCAGCACCCACATGACACCTCATAACTGTCTGTAACTCCAGTTCCAGGGGTTCTGACACCTTCACACCAATGCACATTAAATAAGTTAAAAAAGAAAGACACAAAAAATAAAATAAAAAAGAAAGAATGGAGTAATTACTTTGTAAAAGAAAGAAGAAAAGGAAGAATTCTAAATAAACTCTTATAGTCTATTAGGTAAAGTGTTGGGCTGATTAAAGAAGTACCACGTGTCAAGATCATTGAACATGAAATCTGATTTCTGCCTAAATTTTTTTTATTGTGCTATTCAGAAGGCTCTGACTTTCCAGAGCTAAAAGCCAAAGGAATGATTCCATAGATAAAGCATTTGCCATGCAAACATCAGGACCTGAGTTTGATACCCAGCACCTATACTAAAAGAGCTACCTGAGGATGACTTCCGGCCTCCACACACATGCATATACTTGTATGTGTATCCATACATAACCATGTGCATAGATACACACATCAAAAAAGGTCAATGAAAGGCATGTACATTTCTCATAAGACCCAGGCACTAAGACTATTATTACATTTAAACATGGTGCCTGAAGAGTGGTCTTCGTCTATAACCAGTAACTTAGCCCTATCCTCAACCATCCAAATCCAAGGCAAGAGGATTTTGAGTGAGGACATACACTATGCAAAGCACACCACCAAATGATTTCCTTCAGCAAATTTCAGTGAAGGGTCTCATACCCTTCCCCACCCTCCTTCCTAAACAAACATTGGCTGTGACCTCACCTGCCACTGGGAGCCTCTTCTTTCTCATGGATGCTCTGATGATGTCAGCACCATGAATTTTGTCCCTGTGCCTTTTGGCCTTAGCTTCATAAAACCATTGGCCACTCATATTCTTTAGTTGTCGGTCATCCTTAATTTTTTCAGGCAAATGTCTACAAAAGGAAAAGAAGTTTACTTTGCTGAGGACCCACAGTAAATAAACAATTCACTCTGACACTGTATGAAGAAATTTGTAAATATGAGGCAAAATGAAGCTCTTAATAATTTATGTGCCACAAACCTCCCAGATGGCTAACAAATGTTCTGCTTTTACTAAAAAAAATAATAAAATAAAATAAAATAAAATAAAACCTAATCAGAGATGCCAAGCATGATTTTTAAAGGGTTTTATTTATTTTATTTTATGTGTATGAATGTTTTGCGTGTAAATGCATAATGGGCATGCATTACCCACAGAAGCCAGAAGAGGGTGTCAGATTCCCCCCCAAGAACTAGAGTTATAGATAGTTGTGAATTGTAAGTGCTGGGATTTGAACCCAGGTCCTCCACAAGAGCAGCAAGTGCTCTTAACCATTCTACCTGAAACTTCTCAAGAGCAGATTCACTTCTTAGTTGTAGTCTTTTATGTCTACCATTCAAATGGGCACCACCAGAGAGCAGTGATGGAGAAAGCATCTCTGGCCATTTCCTCATCTTTAAAATGGGGTTAAATGTCCCATCTCATGGGGTTTCTCTGAGATTAAATTAAAACACTTAAACCACCCTCTGCACCTGCCAAGGGCCTATTAGGCATTTACTGGACAACTAGTGTGTGATAAGCAGTTCCTTGGTTCTTCCCTTTACAGTGAAATGAGTTTATCAGAGATTTTCCTGGAAATCTGTGAAGGAAGGGGGCATGATGCTTTATGCACTGAGGCAGGCTAAAATGAGGAGGTACAGGCAAGTTCCATCAGTGCCAAGGTTGCTCTTAAGGGTTCCATAATCATTCATGCGCAATGAATAACTAAAACCTAAAGAGCAAACCAACCGATGCCCTCCTAAAGCATCCCTAATTTATATCAGTTGGGAAAAAATGGTGTTCTAATCAATGAGTCTTTTAACCTCTACATCCTTCTAGTCAATAAAATGAGAATCCCAAATTAACTTTTCTTACTCATAGAGATGCACTCAGGGTAAAATCCAACAGAAAGCCTTTGGGAAACTTTGAACTCTTGAAAAATAATGTGTTGCACAAATCCAAGTGGGTTTATGATTTTTACTCAAGCTTAGATGCTCCTTGTCTATGTGGCAAGTCTGTATTAGCCAGAGAATGTGAATGGACCATTGTAGTGGCCAGGCAGGGGATGAGGACCGCACAGAGGCACATCTGGAAATGGAGAAGGAGCTGGAGGGGCAGCTACCCAGCCTCAGCAATGATAGGCTCCTAAGTATGCTTGAGGAAACAGCTTCTTTGCCTGTCACATATAAACTCTCTACTACAATCTCTCCCCCTCTCCCAAACACCTGGGAAGAAGTGATTCTGCTCCAAACGTGCTCCTCATAGTTCTTAGTCATACAGCCTGTGTTCAGATCCTGGCAGGGACAGCATCATTAGTTCACAACCCTGAGTCAGCAAAGGCCTGTGGTTCTTCCTAAATGCTTCTAATAGTGAGCTGCTCATTGCCTAAGGTTTTTGATCAAGCAGACAGCCTTGACTGGGCAACTGGCTGTAGTTCTTATTTTTTCTTCTTCCAACAGGCACAAGATTCTGGCAAATTCTAGAAGAAGAAAAAAATTGCACCTCTCCTTGGTCAGATGGAGCTCCTGGAAGGAGGGTCTTTGTTTCATATACATTTGCCTTGTGCCTTAAAAAGCAATGTGCATGAAGAGTAAAGGAATGCTTTGTGAAGAACTGTTCACCTGGCTTCAGACTGATTTTGGGGGTTTGTTTCCCAGCAGACACTCCAAAACCCCACTTGCCAGCACACTCAAGTTCTTATTGCCCTCAAAACTGCTCTTTTGTCATCTGTAGGTATTAGAGGTAGAAAAGTACAGCTGGGCTCTGGAGACTTTTCCAAATAGGACCAAAGCCTGGTTTGAATTCTATCTAAACATGACAATGGACAGGTTAGTGTTCCTTGCTTGTGAAGATGGGGGAAATAAGACCTCCCCTTGAAGACTTCTGAGATAATTCATTGAAGTGTTTTGCCTGGAAGCATGTAGCATTGCCCATCTTTTTATAAAGAGGCCAATGACCTCTCTCAGCATAGTCCCCCTCCTGCCGCTGCAGGCCTAGCCTGAGCATCACAAAGACATGCTTCCTTTTTCCTCGTTCCCACAATGCCTCCCTTCAGCACTCACACAGTATCCCAAGACTCTGTTTGCATGTCTGTTTCACCCAGTCAACTGTGGACTCTACAAACACCTCGAATACAAGGATTACATCCTTATCACCGTTTATAGTCTTCCCATGAAGCACGGAGACTGGCACAGGGTTGATACCCAGTAACTGTTTGTAGAGTGAGTAAGTCATGGAGCAGTTAAGTGCTCAACAGCCACCCCAGTCTGAGCAAAAGAAATAACGAAGATCTTGTCACTGCCAAGTTTCAGGGGACCAGACCCCACCGTAGTGGCAGGGTTTTCTGATGATGTAGGACTGCTCATCTCTCATCAGAACAGGAAAAAACAGATCATGAAATATGGTTACCTGTCAGCATACCACAAACCCTCACAGCAGAGCAACTCCCAGTTTCTCTTCATGAGATTGCTTTTGGTAACTGGAAAGTACTTTGCAATGGATCCTTTGGAGGTCTTTGCCGCTCGCTCTTGGCCTCTCTCATTTTTTTTTTTTTTTTTTTTTTTTGGTTTTTCAAGATGGGGTTTCTCTGCGTAGCTTTGCACCTTTCCTGGATCAGGCTGGCCTCGAACTCACCAAGATCCTCCTGCCTCTGCCTCCCGAGTGCTGGAACCTCTCTCATCTTAATAACTGCCTGCAAGGCCCTGGAGGACTCACAAATAGCCCAGGCTATGTGAGTTATGCCTATGGAGACACACAGCCCCAGAAGAGACTGGTAAGCATAGTGGTAAGGACTAGGTTTCTGGCTCTTTTGTTTGAAAGTGGCAAAAGAAGGAGAATTTTTCAAATTTAATGAGGGCCATTTTGGTATTTCCTAATATGATTATTTCTGCTGGGTTTAATAACCTCTGGTTTTTTTTTTTTTCTATCTTGGTCACTTGTTATATTCTGCAGATGACTCCATATGTGTGACATCAAATACCAAGTTTGTAAAGATGTCAATCATTTGAATAATCCCCCTGCGGTGGTGCTAAAACCTTCTCTTCCAATTGCTCCGTTATCTTTCCTTTCTTCTGATTTAAGGTTGAATGAGCCATATTAGCATTGGGTTTTCTAATTGCTACACTGTCTAGCTGAAGTGGGAAAGGGTAAATTTCTTGGAACTGACACTGTTCATGCTTCATCACCCTTTCTACACATGCACGTGATGTTTAACTTAGCATAAAGAAAATGCCCGGTAAACACTGGTGGACAGCAGGACATCATTCAGTCCAAAAATGCCACTGTCCTGTCAGCCTTCCAGACCAAGTGTCCAGTAGGTCTTCTGCACAGTACCCCATCTGCCCATTAACATCTGCACAAGCTCTGTTTGAGCGAGTTCACACTTAGCCTCTGCATGGCATTTCATCCTTCTGATTTCACTACAAAGAACTTAGTCAAGAGCAAAAGATGGCCGTTTGTCTGCTCTGTATGCTAAATGCCACATTTAAACCTTTTCTGGTCATTTGTTCACTTGGTCATTCATTAATTTCTTAACATATACGAAGCATTGGGCATAAAACTCAGTCTACAGCCATGATGGCCAGTGGCCACTCTTTTCAGTGCATGGGGAGTGTGCATACTTACAGAGGAAAACAAGAACAATGGCGTTTTCCAGACTGGATTTAAGTTGTCCCCAGCCCACCTCCTTCTCACTGTGTACACACATGCACTCTAACTTCCAGCTCCTTGACATGATTGACAAAGGCCTGACATCACAGGCAAGACCTGATCAATACTACCTACTCAGATGTGGATAGGAAAGCTCAGCAGACCGGTCAAAGAGATGCTCATATTCATTCTCCTGAGTCAGTCCCTCCCCCACCCCACAAGCCCTGCAATATATTCCAGGAAAGATGATAAGATTGTATGACTTAAAAATGGCCTCAATGTCTAAACTAAATGATTCAGGCCCAGAGAACTTAAGAGACTTGCTCAGGGTAACACAGAGCCGGACCCAGAAGTTAGCTTGACTCTCAGCAATCCCGCCCCACTGGGTAAAACCTAACAAGATTTTGGTTTTTAAGGTAGTTCTCACTCTTCACGCTTTCTATCAAGCATTGATGAAGAATCTGGAAACCAACAGACCTGGAAAGAAAATGAGCTGAAATATCCCTTACAATCATGAAAAATGCATTTCTGAGATGCACAGATCCCCACAAGCTGCTGAGTAGCAGCACAGAGTGTGAAAGCCCAAGGCTTTTTTTTTTTAGTTGGATCAGCAGGACTGTCGTCTCACAGGCTGCTTACCCTCTTCCACTCTATCTCCCCATCCACTGGAGGTAGTTGAGCTACACTGTTCTGAGAACAAAAGAAAAATGCATGTGAAGCCCCCTCAATGCTGCAGCCCGGGGATAAACACTGATTTCTTTTTTGCTTTGCTTTCATGGAAAACACCATCAGAGATCCTGGAAACACAGTTCTTCATTGAAAACTGCCTTCATTTAAAAAAGAAGCAACGTCCTAAAGAGGCAGCTGAGAATCATAAGATGTGGTAGCGGTTGAGATGGTATCGACTGCAAAAAACGCCCATCACTGTAGATGTGGTTGTATGCAGATGGGGTTTGGGACGTGGTGCTGGTGTGGTGTACAGACAGATATGTGCATCAGTTTCCTGCTGGCAGGGTGACGCAAAGCACAGGAAACGCCACCTCAGCAGTATGTCATTTTCAAACCATAAAAGTCTAAAATTACACACACATGTGTGTAGTAATGTTTCCCTCAAGGGTGGAAGAGTCAGACAGAGGGCCAGGGTGGAAGAGAGGAAAACATCTATCTTGATGTCTGCTTCTCTGTTGACCTATTAAACATCTCCACTCGGGAGTTGGGGGCACAAGATGATAGCAACTTGAGCCCAATGCTTGTGACTGGAGTAGAAACAGCACAGAAGTCAGATGATGTATTAAGAGTAACCTGGGGCTGTTGCCCTCCCATGTGCACGCTAGAGACCTTGTGTGGTAGAATATTATTTCAAGGTGTGTTACTTTTGTTTATGTTGCATTTGATGAACTCTGTGAAGCTGTGTTACTGTGCCCGTCTAAAACTCCTGATGGGCTAATAAAGAACTGAACAGCCAATAACAAGACAGGAGAAAGGATAGGTGGGGCTGGCAGGCAGTGAGAATATATAAAAGGAGAAGTAGCCAGAGAAGCAGGAGGACCTGGGGGCCAGCCACCCAGCTACACAGCAAGTCACAGAGGAAGTGTAAGATTTACAGAAGTAAGAGAATGGGAAAAGCCCGGAGGCAAAAGGTAGATGGGCTAATTTAGGTTAAGAAAAGTTGACAAGAAGCAAGCCAAGCTAAGGCCAGGCATTCATAATTAAGAATATTAATAAATCTCCATGTGTGATTCATTTGGGATCTGGGTGGCAGACCCCCCCCCCCAAAAAAAAAGTAAAAACCCCCTCCAACCACCTTGTGAGGATTTCCCCTGGGTCCAAGTCCATATGCTATACTGACAGCTTGGATAGTTTAGGAAGTGAGGGTGTTTCCTGCATGATGTTCATTTTTGTCATCCATGAAATCAGGGTGGAAGGCAGCCTACAACCTACACCATCCCCAAAGAGTCTTGCATGAATTTGGACATGAGCAATTGGAAGCATTAGATGTGTGGAAAGTGGCAAACCAGCTTCCATGAGAGTATAAACCTTATCCACAGCCTCACTGACAAGGATTCTGAATCAGTGGCTGACTTTATAGAAAACAGTACAAGAGTCCTCCATGGGCATCCTCAAGCTATGGGATGGCTGTATTCCTAACGCCCAAAACAATTAACAAATGAGAGTCATTAGCAACTGAAATCCTAGTGCATGAGAAACTGAGGCAGAAGGAGCACCACATTATGAAGCTAGCCTGGGCCACACAATGAAGATGGGAAAGGGGCTAGAAAGATGGCTCAGTGAGAAAAAGTGCTGTCTACACCAGCATGAGGATCTGACTTCAATCCTCAGAACCAACATGCAGCCAGGTACAGCAACATCTATAAGCCCTGCACTTCTATAGCAAGATGGGAGGCAGAGACAGGAGAACGACTCACAGCCCACATAGCCTGATGCCTGTAGTGGTGAACAATAAAAGAGACTGCGTCTCAAAAACTGTGGAAATGGAGGGCCAATACCCAAGCTTTTATTCTGACCTATACATGCATTCCATGACATTTTCAAACCATAAAAGTCTAAAATTACACACACATGTGTGTAGTAATGTTTCCCTCAAGGGTGGAATATACATATACATGCCTGCATTCACACACACACACACACACACACCGAGTAGATAGTAGTGGCAAGTTTACTTTTCAAATGATACTCACTATAATTAACACACCCCTAGATTGGCTTAGACAAGAAGGATAACTGAAGCTGTAAAACTGTGTTAGAACAAAATTTAGATTTTTAAATTTCCAATTGACAGTCCTTTAAATGGATAAAAGTCATGGGATAGTAAATTCCTTAAGGACTGGGACCATATCTTCAATCATCTTCAGATACCAATTGCATTATCCTCCAGGGCAGTTTCTTCATTTACAAGATATGCATCTATATGTTATTGCATGAAAA